GATAAACCAGCTGTTCCTATTTGTTTAGGGGGGGGGGGGGTTAACAGCTCTGCAGTCTGATGAGAAATCCGCAGGTCTAGCAAATGAAGTGTCTCCCTGATTGTTGCGCTGATCTGCTCTAAGAGGCAATGATGTAGGGGTGAGAGCATGAGCGAGGAACTCCGACAGCAGCTGAATTGTCCAAGCAAAACCGTACCATCGAAACACTAATTAGTATTGATACAAGTGCACGCCTGTGGTGTCTTACTCTTGGGAAAGAGATCACCTTTCACTGTGAAAAGAGGCTGATGTCGACAAATTATACAGTAGCATTTTTGTAGTGCAATTAAAGCAGTCTGGCAGCCACACTATAATGTAAAAACTTGATGCCCGCGTTCTCCACCATTAAAATATCTTGTGCCAGAATTATGTTCTGTTAACAATTCTCATGCATGCATTGATCCATTCATTCGGACAGCACACCGTATAAGAATACTCGACTGATTACCACTATTGAGTCATGCTGAAAGCATGATTCCCGAACAAATGATTCAGTCGGTTCTTTTTAGTGAGTCAAAAACCTTAGAGCGCAGTACTGTAAGCCACCCAAGTGTATGACTCTTATGAGTCAGTTCTCAGTGTGACCAGTGTAGTCTGATTCTTTAACAAATTACTCATATGAACTGGTTCTTTTTAGAGAAAAACAAATCCCCAGTGCTGATTCACAAATGAATGACTCGTTGTGATTCGGTTCTTTTTATTGAATTTATTAAATATGTAGGTGCACAGCACTCAAATGTGTTGTACTTAAGGCTCCTAAAACTCAGTGCATTATGTATTACAATTTTTGTTATTAGTATTTTATAAAACTAAAATTAATAAAATGTTACCATTGTTTTTATTTAGAATTATTTATCATCTTTGTGTCTTTTTAGTTTTATCCACTTCCTATTTATTATTAGGGTGCATTTATTTGTATGCATTTATGCTGTTAAAAGTCAATAAAAGTAAATGCGTAATTTACACAATTTATAGTGCATAATTTATATTGTTTTACATTTATTTATTATGCATTCCCCCCAAACATTTCTTACTCAAAAGAATTGATGGAATCATTGACAAAACTGTTGAGGAACCAAAACCAGAATCATTGAATATAAGCGTCTCTCTCTCTCTCTCTCTCTCTCTGTTGTGTCCCCTGTCTGGCTTGCAACCAGACTCCAAAACCACAAAAAGCATGCTACTCTAAATGCTTGATAAGGAGCTTGTTACCTCTTCAGAACAGCAAGATAAGCATGAGGGAACAGACTCTGGTCTGGCTTGGCTGGGCTCACCTCACCGGCGTGCAACCATCAAAGTCATATGGAGTTGCACAGGGACCGTTTTGTCATAAAATGTGGAAATGGCAGAGGAGGGGACGGTGTGGAGGCCTGTCTGTGATGTATTCTCCATGTGCATCTCGGATGCGGGTCACGTCAGTGTGCCCTTTCACTGCAGACCTGTCAGTCAACACTGTATTCCTGAGTGGATGGCGGCTCTGACGTGCCATCTGCGCGCAAGCAGGGCCGTGCAAATAGGGACGAGTGATGTCACTGCAGTAGAGTGGAATTAGACAAATAAGAACGAGGGTCAAACAAAGGACTCAAATCTCCAGTGAGGCCGGCCTCCTGTAAAATGTTCACTACTGTTGTCAAGTACAAATTGAGTTTAGATGCTTTGCAACAGGGATTCTTTCTAGGATGCACTAATTAATCAGAGATCAGCTGTTGCCCAATACAGCGCCAGGTTTTGTGTGTTTAGCTCTACACGGCGCTGATTATCTCATTCCCCCACCGTGAGGGTTATTTTCTCTGCGCTGAAAACGTGTGTGGCCATTACAAGGCATGGAAGGGAAATCTGCACCAGCATCTGTGGTAATTTGCTCCCGGGGTTCATCAGTTCACCTGATTACTCTACATTGATTTACTCTCCTAGCTGATCAATACCTATTTTAAGGTCTCTTTCGGAAAAACCAGTGGGGGATTTGTATAATATCCCCCTAAATAGGCTGTACTTTCTCTTTCTGGTTTTCACTCTCTTTCTTTTACACACTCTATATTTCAGAGGAGAATCCACCATTATTTGTCTGAAAGTTATTTAACTGTTATCCTAAACAGCTTTCAGAAGAATTAGGGAGTGCACATGGCTAGCATGACTTGCAGATGGGCTGTTGGGGATCATGGGAGTTTTTCACTGTCATTAGGCACCTTATGTAAGCGATTAGCATAGATGAAGCTGTGTGACATTATCGACAGGAGCACAGGTGCAGTGTGGGAGTGACCAGGATCTGGAGCTGAATCATTGCTTAATGCACCATGACATAACATCTGGAAGTTAAACTAACCAAAATCCAGTTTTCCATAACAAAGACGCGTTAATGGAAACAAAACATAGCTACAGTAAGCCTACAGCCCTGCTCCAAAATCAAGGGCATGTAGGGATCCTGATAAGGCACCATCGACATTTTGTTTTACATTATTTTTAAATTGAATTGTATTTTTAAACATCATTTATATTTTATTTGATTTGTCAAGAGTTGATAAACTCTTTTTATTGCCACTCTTCTAAATGCAGAAAAGTTTAAATAAAATAGTTACAATTTTCATTAAAATGGACTATTTCCAATTCTAGTATATTTGTGTCTCTATTTTTATGCTCGTCATATTGTCAGCTTAGCGACATGCTAACAGCAGACTCGAGGCTATTTGTTTTACACAGAGTTGCTGCCCTAACTATACCTTTCCAAATCGGTTACTTATGAGGTTCCATTTCAGTTTGGATGCTGTAAACAGCAAGACAGCTCAGTAGGTTTTGAATCCGGGCCTACGCTATAGCAGTACTTTCTATTCAGGCCCTATCTGCTCAGAGCCCGGCTCGATAGATTTGACAGGTGAACACTAAATGTGTCAGAATGGAGATAGTGAGCTGCCGGAGGCAGCAAGGAGCATGCAGAGGTGCTCACCCAGGTTGGCGTTTCTTCTGTGTGTATGAGGGAGAGTTTGACTGGATGACGGAGACAGCAGCAGCAGCTTTCATGGCGTGATGGTGCTGATATAGTTAGTCTTTTGGGAGCAGGGAACAGCTGAGACTGCCAGTCTGTTTTAGGCACAAATTAAACTCAATCCGCACACTCAGAAAGTACATCTCCGCTGTGAGCTTTGATTTAATCCTTCAAGTAACCATCGAAGATGTTCCCCCAAAGGTGTCCGTGTGTGTACGACTTGTACGACTACGATCTCGAAGTCATGTCATGTCATATTTAAAATGACACTCTATTTGATGTGAGAACCTGAGCAGTCAGGTTTAGTTTTTCTGTTTGCCCATTAGAAAATCAGACAGGCATGGTTGAACCGCTTTTCCCGTGGCGTTTGACATGATAAATATGTTTACTCACCTAATTGAGAGAGGGTGAGACATTAGCTGATCAGATTATCTCTGATTTTGAATGTGCCTTGTCTGCTCGTGTGACTCTGTAAACAGTGGTAATCCTAAACCAAACCATTCAATATTCCTATAGGGCACAATAAATCCATGTAATGACGTTTATCCATCTGAATGGGATAAGGGTAATGTATCAAGGCTTAGAGTGGTAAATCCCAAGGTTCATTGAATGAGCATCCATTAAAGGTGCACTCAGTAGTTTTCCCTGCTCATTAAAAGTGAAACATGTTTAAAATAATAGCGTGGTTATTTGCTATACAGTAAGTAAGAGCAATTAGGTTATGTTATTATTTTGTGTTATTTATCTCTATTTCAGGTTTGCAGTCGAACCTGAGGATGGCAGGAGATTCTCACGTCCACATGGACCACGACATGGAGATAGGAGTGACTCCAAGAGAGGTCAGTATCCCCCACTATCACTTTCAACTTCAGTAATGTTAAATTAACATCTACCGTAACCACGGAATAGACCACCTAAACTTGAGAATTTAGAATATACAATAAAAATGAGAAATTTATTTTATTGTGTTTATTTCATGTTTTTAATATATTTTAATCATTAATCCATCAAAACAGCAGTTCAATACAGTGGCCTTCAAATAAATCATAATGTGGGAGGTTAAAGCTAAAGGAACCCTAACCCTAAACCAATAGGTGATGATGTGGAGTGCTTATTTAACTGAAATTCAGACAATAATTGTAACTTTAAATACCATTTTTTTTATCAAACGTTTATGTGTTCTACTTACATCCTCATTGACAGCCAGGACATTGTATAGTGATCAATATATTATGTTAGGCTCATTATATAAAATAACTGATGACACAATGCTCAGTGAAGTATTTCAGGGAGATGTGCAATAACTAAATACTATACTTATATATTTATAAATGTGAATTTAAACATATTTAACATATGCTAAATGCATATTTTGACATTTTTATAGTTATGACTTGAATGATGTGGAATACTGAATATAATAGCTAACTTGAAGTACAAATTTGGAGGCATACCAAATACTGGAAATTGGCTCTAGATGAGGATATTTGTTTGCAATGTTTACAAAAAGTATTGGTTTTATTTTTTGCCCAATATTTGGCTTTAACTGACAGAAAATAGGGGGCCTCAGGTGTGTACGCAGCAGGAGGTCTCCTTGTGCTCCAGTTTCTCATAAGCACTTTAAGGCTTGCCTATAATTGACTGCCACCACTTTAACAAGATACCACGTTTCAATTAACAACCAAGCACAATCTTCCACAAATGGAAAGACAACATGCCAATGTGTTCTTGTCTCATGTGGAGGACACTGTGTTATGGACTTGGGAGGGGGCAAAGATTCTTATCTGGGCTTGCCAGTGTTCCATGGGGAAGAGGAAGGTAATGGGGGAAGTGTCCCATGGAGCTGGTGTAGAACAAGGAATCAGAAATGGACTAGGGCCAAGATAGAGAGTCATTGGAGGGAAAAAAACAGCAATAGAAAAAAGAAAAAGCCACCAGTACTCTTACGTTGCAGTAATCTGCATGTTCTGTACATGCTGAGACGTACTGTGACAATGTCATAACAGTAGTGAAGATATCAGAGCACGTCCATTGTTAGAAGGGAACAGTGTGAACGTACCTCTGCTTGATGTTGGCAACTGCCATCCACACTTTCATTGTCTGGCATAAAGCAGCTTAGTGAAGAGATAGAAGAGGCAGATGGGAGCTATTGATCTGGCTTGCAAAATATGTTGAATGATTCTGATGGGACTAGATTGCAACACTAGAGGACCTGTAGGAAGCATCACATCCTGCATGTATTATGCCTCTCTATCAGTCTCCCTAACACTGATGCTTAATATAGGCCTACAGGTTCAGACTTGCTGATACTGTAGACCGTTTTATCATCATCATCATCATCATCATCATCATCATCATCATTTTGAATTGAGTCTTTATCCAAGAGGACAGAGCTTCTATGTCACATTGATCTTGTAACTGAATTTGTTACTTATCTCTCTACCTCCTTACAGCAGGTGAAGAAACTCCCCAAGCACCTGAGGGAAGCACAAATCCCAACAGATTGCACCCACCTCATCTCTGATCCTGTTAAGAAACCCCGCCAGCGCTATGTACAGAAAGACGGCAAGTGCAATGTTCATCACGGAAACGTTCAAGAGACCTATCGTTATCTCAGCGACCTCTTCACAACACTGGTCGACTTACGTTGGCGCCTCAGTTTCTTCATTTTCACCTTGGTCTACATTGTCAACTGGCTCTTCTTTGGGTTTTTGTGGTGGCTTATTGCGCTAATACGAGGAGATCTTCTACACGCAGATGAAGAGGGCTGGACCCCTTGTGTTGAAAACCTCAACAGCTTTGTCTCTGCTTTTCTCTTTTCCATCGAAACCGAGACCACCATTGGCTACGGCTATCGTGTCATCACGGAGAAGTGCCCAGAAGGAATTATACTTCTACTGGTGCAGGCCATCTTGGGGTCCATTGTCAATGCCATGATGGTGGGCTGCATGTTCGTAAAGATCTCGCAGCCCAAGAACCGAGCAGAGACGCTGATGTTCTCCCACAAGGCCGTGATCTCGGTGAGGGACAGCAAGATGTGTCTGATGTTCAGAGTGGGTGACCTGCGGAATTCGCACATTGTGGAAGCATCAATCCGTGCCAAGCTCATTCGTTCACAGCAGACGAAGGAGGGCGAGTTCATACCGCTCAACCAGACGGACATCAACATTGGCTTTGACACAGGAGACGATCGTCTCTTCCTGGTATCGCCTCTCATTATCTCCCACGAGATCAATGAGAAGAGTCCTTTCTGGGAGATGTCCCGGGCACAGATGGAAAAGGAAGAGTTTGAGATTGTCGTCATCTTGGAGGGCATGGTCGAAGCTACAGGTATGTTCTCCTTGACATTAAGCAATTCAGCTGTTGACCTAAAAAGTGTCATAGTCTCCATGAATCAGAAATGACAGTTTGAAGCTTTGCATTAACCCTAGAAACTATCACTCTTTCGCAATGGCTTCAAGGAGCAAGTTGCGCATTAACTGCCAAGCTCTGTAGAGCAGTTGACCTCAATGAATTTTCCACAATTTTTTGCGGTAAGCGAGAGACTTAGAGGTCAGTCATTTAAATATACAAAACTGCAACACATTATTCATTTCCTGAAAGTGCTGAGTCATCCCTTCCCTAAGCATGCTGATTACACGAAATAACATTCAAGAACTGACAAGAAGATAACTGTTTCAATTTTGATGCTAAGGCTATATTTCCAACACATGAGTCAAGGTGGGTTTGAGAGCCTCTTGTTGTCTGGCTAGCCATGTCCTTGCAAACCCGTCCAGGCCGGAGTTGTGGAAAGAGGTGAAAGGTGATGAAAGTACTCCGGGTATGTTCCACTCTGCTGGAGGGGATCCTTTGGAAAGCTTATTGGAGCAAAAAAGTGTATTTTTCCACTCTTCATTTTAATTAACATTGTTCCAGTTCTCAGGTCAGTGAAACTCAATAACGGTCAGGCAGTTCAATGAGAAAACTGCTTTTAAAATGTCTTTGAGAGCACAGTTTTGGTATTATACCTCAAGACATTTGGACTAATACACAATCCATACAACAGAGAGCCCAGGGTGTTGTGGCATTCAAATTGATTATTAATAATGTCGTTGATGTTGATTTACTGTAACAGTTTGTTCAATCTGCATCTAATTTTTAGTCCATTACCTTAAAAATTAGTCATAGTCTGCTTAACAATCAAATGCAAATACATTTAAGCACAAATGTATGTCTGTACAAAGTTAACCGATACTAGTGTAATACCTGTGCTTCAGCAGCAAATATGCCATCTGAATATATGAAAGTGAATGGATTATCTAGATATATTATTCTCGGCTACTGTTTGGTTGACCTTGCAGAACACTGTGTGCGATATTGATTTGAGAAGATCTCCTTATTCTCAGGGCTGTTGAGGGAATAAAGAGGCCTCCATAGTCTAAAGTGTCTACACTAATTGCAGATCCATTCCCAGGCTGAAACATTTCCCATGGTTTATCAGATATCTCAGGTGAATGTTTGCAATTCAAATTATTTATTGGGCATTTGTCCAAAGAGAACTTGCACTGCTAATCTAAATCCAATTCATTATACATGCTTCCCTGTGAAGGCATCCTGTTTTGTGCTTGTTTTGCAGTGAATACCAATGAGGACTCAACAAAGAAAAGGTGAAAAGCATTATATGATGAAATTTTCCTTCACATATAATGCAAAAAAATGCACATTTAGAGGTTTTTGTACCACAAACATGCAACTGTTACTGACTGAAACATCCAAGGACCTAATGGAGAGAATTTAAACTTACACTAACCTTGCTCTGTGCCCTAGATGCCATATGACATATCAGCAGTCTCCTCAACCTTCCTATCACTTTGAAATGTTTTCCACTTTCCACTGTGGAGAAATGCATATGCAAGCACATGTCAATAACTATGGGCTATGATGCATTTGATCTACTAAAGCCTTGTAAATTATGCCTTTGACAGATGACCAGGTATAGATTAGGGTGCTACAGGCCAGGATAAACCTACAAATAGGCTCGCCGGCCTCTCTCAGATTGAAGTCTACTCCCACTTGCTAATGAGGGATGATGGCTTCCTTTTGATGTGCAGTAGAGCGCTAATGACGTCGTGAGTGCAGTAAGGTCACAAACAACCTGATGTCTGATTTGTATGAGTATAGCAATATTTTAATTTAGCCCTGGCATGTGTCAGGTATGATGGATAGCCACATTTGGTCTATTCTATTATTTTTCCAGTACTGAGGGTCAGGAGTTCTATAGTAAGTCTCTTGAGTACTACTTGCAATTTGCATGAATGTGATGAGACTCTGACCCTGCTGGTGATAAAGGCATGAACAAGTTTCTCCAAGTCTTGACTGGAAACAAAACATCTCATTCTTGCAATGTTTTTGAGATGATAGTATGCTGATTTAGTTACTGCTTTGACGATGGTTAATCGTCAAACCCCTGATGATGGTTAATCAGATGTAATTTGCATCATTTAATTGTTGCAACATAAGCGGTTTTCATTTTTGAAATGCCTGATCTTGAGTGATATAATCACGAACAACAGCTTTTCCCTAATGAAAGGTTCATCCCACTGCAGAACATGACATGCAAACATATTTGATCCACTCTGTTCCAAAAGCTAGTGATCTGACTACATAGGCAAAATTGTAAAGCACAGGCACTTCTGAAGTAAAGGCGCTTTGATTATGCTACCTTCTTTTTTGGAAGCATGGGAGTCAAATTGCTGAGAAGGCAAATGCATTGCAATGAAATGCTGATTGTAAAAATAACTCTTCAGAAAGATGCAAATACTTTTCGGACCGTTTTACCACATATCAAACACTTTTAAAATAGATTATCAGTCAAGTCTCAAAGTGAATCTGAACTACGTCTATAAAGCACAGATTTGCTTACAGATTGGTTATTCCAAACTAGCTATATAATGCAGTACAGTTAACACTGAAAGTTTAGAAGCAGGTTGCAAATGTCTAACAATATGGATTTAAAATCAATTGGTGTTAGTGATCAAAGATCTGCACCCCTATTAGAGAAAAATAAGCTGTCATTAAATGCTTGTCTCCCCGTCAACATGATGAATGCTTGAAACACAGCAGCCCATTGAGTGCTCATAACTAACGGCATCTACTAAATATGTCCGGTGGCATTAAGATAGGCTTATCTGTGTTTTTAAGTAGCGTCCATTAACTTTCCATTCATTTTGCTATTAATGAGTCTCAAACCCATAGATAACTTGCTTCAAATTAATGTTCTATAACTAATATAGATTTTTAAAGGCCAACTTTATGAGGTGGTGTGTTGATTAAGAGAGGAACTGTGGAGGCAGTTTGAAGGTAATTAATGTGTGCTTGAGCAGTTTAAATTTTAACACTGACTATTAGTGCTGGATTTTTGTTTAAAGCTCAAACAAACCTGTAGAGAATTCTGGCATCCTCTGAAGGCGGTGATTTTCAGTTCTACTTCTAGTTTGCCGCACTAGAAGCATTAGATAAGTGCTTGTTCAGTAATCATATAATTAGTGGATTGAAACTTTTTTTTACAGATTTGTTTTATTACCCAGGCGTATTACATTTTATTTGTCATAAAACGGCTCTTTTAAGTGTGCTAATCCATGCACAGTGAGACAAAGATTTCAACACATATATAATGCATAATGTAGTATGTTAAACCTAAATTATGAAACTGACAATGACAAGGAGAATCGAGTAAGGTTTTCCTGCACGGGAACACAGCAGTTCCCATCATGGTGCTTCTTATCCTAGGAGAAATGATAGTACTCATATGTGTCAGCAGATTTCAGTGTCACCGTTGTTCTCCAGAAATAGACTTAGGAACCCCTGGCCTTGAGGTGTTGTGCCCTTATTTATAGATTTGAAAAGCATCAGTGAAATCATGAAACCGGCCATTGCTAGGTTATTGAGATCAACATACCCTCTCCATGTCTTTCTCTTTCAGACACACACACACACACAGAGAAACAGAGAGAGAGAGAGAGAGTATAATGCAATGCTAAATGTGATACACTCAAACCCACACACCGTTTCTGTTCTAAAACATGACACAAAAGCAGAGGGATTCAGAGAGACTCTGAGAGCACTGAGTTCATTTCAGTTTCAATCATTACCTCCATCTGATACAGCATTCATTCTTCAGCTCAATCTCATATTCACACTAAAACTTTAGTCTGAATGTCCGCTGAGGTAAGCGATATCTTTGTCGTACAATACTTTTATCTGTTAAGGGTGATTTCCAATGACAGCGCTGCTCAGTGCATTTGTTGGCTGCGTCTTACAAGTTGTTGTTGAATGTAAAAATAATGTCCTTGTTTCGTTCCCTTTCAATTTAAAAGTCTTTACTACTGACTCACCCATAAAGCCAGTCTCTTGTCGCTATGTAATGTCGCAACAATGTGACTAA